GGTTCTTTCTGTTAGTGTGATGTGAACTAGTAAAGATGTAAGTCTTTCAAAGGAATGATAGTGTTCCAGGGTTAGTCTCTCAAAACTCTTGGAGCCAGATGTATTTCAGATTATTCTTAAAATGCATGTTTTATATCCCTCTGAGTCAGATTTTGTGGACACAGATTTGGGTAAAGTATCAATGTTGTTACTGAACAGTGAAAAAAAATTGAGTGCTCAGTACTTTTAAGATTTCAAAACTGAAGATTAGAGCTAATTTAATCACTCTTAGACATTTTATTTATTGTGTCTATTCGCAGTCCAAGAATCCCATAAAAATCTCTGCTTTCCTCTACCTGTTTCTTTGTGTTCTCGTAGAGAAGTTTCAATAGGCTGTCGGGGTTACAGAAGGAGCCTGTGAAGGCATTTGTGTCAATGCAGTAAATGCTTACAGTTCACAGAAGAAAACTCAACTGTTCTTAGTTATTGTCATCAGATGAGCAAATGTGTAAGGATGTTTATTTAAGAGGCTTGTTTACTTCAGCTCCAGTCTCTCAGCCAGCTTTGGACACAAATCGGGGTGGCTATCACCAGCTTCCTCTGTGACCTTTCAGAAATTTTCCGTGGGTGCTTTAGGGAATGTGTATAGATGCATGAACTGTAGACGTGCCTCATTTGTTTGAATTGCTCTATAATGTTCTAGCATAGTCAACAACCATGATGCAACTGGACAGTCAAGCAGTGAATGGATACTTAGGTTATTTTCACTCTTGTGATTAGATAAAATGCTCATTGATTATTCTTATTCATATTGCTTATGTATATGAGAGGATATCCATAGGTAGTCCTAGAGATGGGATTATAGGGCAGATGATCTCACTGGATTCCAAAGACATTACCAAATTGTTTCAAGAGTGAGTGTATGTCCACCTGAAATATTTGAATGTGTCTATTTTGTCATTTCTTTAAAAAGCAGGTAATAGATACTTTATTCATGAACAAGGACTTGAAACTGAATTTTTAGCTTTAACTATGTCATAGAGTTTTCATTTTTGGTGGTGGATAAATGCATAAAAGTATATTTGACAGTGAAAGTGTAACATCTAATGACAAGCTCCATGGTTTTAGAATGGCTATTATAACTATATAGAAGTTGGTTGAGATGAAAATACTTTGAGTCTGGTTAATTGCATGATGTTTTTCATTTGTAAGTTCTTTGGAATGGAGTTTTAATAATAAAAAGGTGACCAAATACAATATCTCGTAATTATCATTATCATTTATTTTATTTACTCACTTATGCATTCTTCAGTTAGAAACAGGGTTTTATAACCTAAACTGCCCTCCATCTTCTTACATAGCCAGTGATGACCTTGAACTTGTGATCCTCCTGTCTCCATTTCCAGAGTGCTGGGATTAGAGATGTGTTCTTCTGTAACTGGTTTTATGTAGCAGTAGCAATCCAAGTCAGCGCTTCATGCATTCCACACAAGCACTCTGCCAACTGAGCTTCATCTCCAGACTTGAAATTTTATTTTCTATAAAGAATGGCTCTTTTGCCCATTTTTGCACCAAGTTGTTAATATTTTTCATTTTCCCTTGCAAGTATTTTTTCCTTTGAAGGAAAGTAGTCCATTTTTTGATATCTATTATTATAAATAATTATTTGTAATATCTTGCATCATTTCCCAGTTTTTCTTTTTACTTAGGTATTTATCAGGATTTTTCTATTCAGAAAATTCTCCCATACAAATGATCAGTCAGTATCTTGAATAGGTATACCTATGTTTCGTCTCTGGTCCTTTCTCTCTGTTTATTCATGAAGTAATTTGTTATAATAGCTTTTAATGTCTCTATTAACTGGAGTTGTGTGGGGTGTTTCATTTTGTTTTTCAGATCCTATAACTATCCTTTCTTTGAATTTCTCCTTCTTCATAAAAACAATTAAACAACATAATAGCAAATAAAGAAATAGCTGTACTATGGAGCAATAACTAGAGGCCAGACATTGCACTAAGCACTGTCAGTGTGTGTATAGAATCTTAAGCACTAGACTGTTAGCACTGGCTTTTGATACAGGGAATAGGAGTGCCATTTGAATGGAGAAATTGGATACTGAAGGGGCTTTTCTTTATATAATTTTATATATTTGAATTTTTGTAATGTAAACATACTTTTTCTATTATTATTTGAGAATTTCCAAGAAGACCTAATACCTATACTCCTTAAGGTATTTCACAATATAGAAGCAGAAGAGTCATTGCCAAATTCCTTTTATGAAGCTACAGTCACTCTGATACCAAAACCACACAAAGACTCAACCAAGAAAGAGAATTACAGGCCAATCTCACTCATGAACATCGACGCAAAAATCCTCAACAAAATACTGGCAAACAGTATCCAAGAACACATTAGAAAAATTATCCATTATGATCAAGTAGGCTTTATCCCAGAGATGCAGGGCTGGTTCAACATACGAAAATCTATTAATGTAATCCACCATATAAATAAACTGAAAGAAAAAAACCATATGATCATTTCATTAGATGCTGAAAAAGCTTTTGACAAAATTCAACATTCCTTTATGATAAAAGTCTTGGAGAGATTAGGGATACAAGGGTCATACCTAAATATAATAAAAGCTATTTACAGCAAACCAACAGCTAACATCAAACTAAACGGAGAGAAACTCAAAGCCATCCCACTAAAATCAGGAACACGACAAGGTTTGGGGTTTTTTGTATGTTTGTTTGTTTTGGTTTTTGAGACAGGATTTCTCTGTGTAGCTCTGAAGCCTGTCCTGGAACTTGCTCTGTAGACTAGGCTGGCCTTGAACTCACATATGTCCACCTGCCTCTGCCTCTGTACTGGGATTAAAGGCGTGTGCCACCACTAGCCCCATGACAACTCTTGTAAAGGAAAATATTTCATTGGGGCTGGCTTACAGTTCAGAGGCTTAGTTCATTATCATCCTGTTAGGACATGGCAGCATTCAGACAGACATGGTACTGGAGAAGAAGCTGAGTCCTTCATCTTGATCCTCAAGCAGCAGAAAGAAAAACTGTCACATTGGCCAGACTTGAGCTTCTAAGTCCTCAAAGCCCACCTCTACAGTAACACACTTCATCCAACAAGACCACACCCACTCCAACAAGGCCACACCACTAATAGTACCATTCCCTATGGGCCAAACATTCATGCACATGAGTCTATGGAAGCCATTCTTATACAAACGACCACAGTGGCTGGGTGTCCAAGCTAGTATCTCTGTTGTAGAACGTAGTCCTTTGGGCCAAAGAAGTCGTATAGTTGAATCATATGGTAGATCTATTTTTTAGCTTTTTAAGAATTTACTACACTGATATCCATAGTGGCTACCCCAGTTTGCAGTTCCTCTGACTGTGAAGAAGAGATCCCTACATCCTCATCACATTGCTACCCTTTTCTGTTTATCTTTTTATAATTTTTATAAATGTAAACATATCCTTTCTTTACCTTTGAAACAGAATCTCACTATGTAGCCATGTGATAGCTAGCCCTGAGTGACTTGAGACTCACTCTATAGAGAATAGACTGGCAAATACTTTTGCCTCTGCCTCCCAAGTGCTGGGATTAGAGGACTAAACCATCATGTTCTGACTCGTTTAATTGTTTGAAGAATTAAAATGTTTAAGAAAATAGAACAATGTAATTTGACACATTGTTTACAGAGTGCTTGTCATTAAAGATATAATGGCAAGACAAATCCATTTGGTTCTTGTCCTCACCGTTTCCAATCAGATGAGGAAACATGTCAGACAGACTCGTACAAATTAGATTCTATAAGTTATGGCCAATGCTGTGAAAGAAAAGAGCAGAGGATTATGAACTAAAAATCAGCTTTGTGGTCTGATATTAGATTGTGGAGTTAAGGATGGCTTTTCTGAAGTTTTAGTTCATCTCTAGCAGGATGAATAGTCGTTATCTAAGAGAAGAATGGGAGCATAATTAAAATCCAACTGTTTGTCTTACACTATTCTTCTTACACTGTACATAGATACAATGTGTGCCCTTTTCTTTTAAAAAGAATGTGGGAAAAGATTGAGAGAGCAATGGCATTCCTGAAACTAAAGATGGATTGTAAGAGTGAAGGGAGAAGGAGAAGCCCAGCTAGTTTAGCCCCAAAATAACCACACAGAAATTGTATTAATTAAATCACTGCTTGGCCCATTAGCTCTAGCCTCTTATTGGCTAACTCTCACATCTTGATTTAACACATTTCTATTAATCCGTATATCGCCACATGACAGTGGCTTACCGGGAAAGATTCAGCATGTCTCACTCTGGCAGCAGTTCCATGGCATCTCTCTGACTCTGCCCTTCTTTCTCCCAGCATTCAGTTCTGTCTTCCCTGCCTACCTAAGTTCTGCTCTATCAACAGGCCCAAAGCAGTTTCTTTATTAACCAATGAAAGCAACACAAAGACAGAAGGACCTCCTATACCAGGTCTTGGTTCAAATCACTTGACTCATCTTTCTGGATCTCAGTTTTCTTACCCATAAATAGGAAAATTAGTACAAATATGTCAAAGACCCCTTTGCTCAGTGGATAAACATTATGAGTACTTCTCTTAGCGATCAAATCTGTCCCATACAAGAAGTACTTTATCACTTCCAAGTCATGAAGAACATGTAGAATTCTTCAGCTTCTCTGTCATGCAACAGAAAAACTTGCACACTGTGGTGACAGAGCCCCTGCCTGCCGCAGCCTAGTTTGGCATAAGCAATATCATCCCTGTTCTCAAGACTGTTCTTCCTCTTCTACAGTCTCTCTTCCTAAGTTAAAAAGGGCTGGTGGGGTCAGCAGAAGAGTAAACCTTACAGACAGTAGCAGGGGCCTTGTTCTCAAAACCCTCCTTGGGAATTTTTCCCTTAAGTTTCCCCATGGTGAAATCTGTGGTCAAACCCTTGCCCTGAGTACCTCTGAGGGTCTGTTGGTTTCTCGTGTTCTAATTTTCCTGTTTTGTCTGGGCTGTCTTACAGGTATGAGACATCTCTGCTGGATTTGGTTCAGTCTCTGAGCCCAAATTCTGCTCCCAAATCTCATCCCCATCCCTCCAGAGCAGCAGGAGTGTGGAGTGCTTTCCGACCTAGCCCTCAGAAATCTATCTGGAAGAAAGTGGGGACGCGCAGGAGCCCTGAAGACCTGGAGGAGAATCAGATTCTGGAAGACATATTTTTCATATGACTCTGAAGAACATGCTGCAGAATTTCCATAGGAAATATTTGGGTTCCTTTACATGCTGATGTAGGATGTTAAATTACTTAATTGCAAAGCAGCCAAGTCTCTCTTTTCACAGGGACCTATCTTACTGGCATCCTCTTAAGTGTTGAATACAGAAATCATCCTAACAAATCAGGGTGGTTTTTGTCCAACTAATCAAAAAACAGGTTAGAGGAGGTGGGCTTAGGGATAGAATCTTTTCTATGGCAAACAGAGATTAGAAATTTAGGATATTTTCTGCATACCCGACTCTGTGGATATCTAGTATCATTTTAAGAGGGTTTTCAATTTACTGCTACAAAATGTTGGCTCTTTCCTTACATTAGGAAAGTATCCACTTCAGAAGGATTCTCCTTCATTCTTTCTCTCCTCACTGAGAGTGACTGTTCATTCTGAAATTGGAGTTAGTGACCCTAGTATCACTACTACTTGGGACCCAGTACGTGTGAGTCATAGTGGTCATCAACATGGCCGTTGCTGCCCTTACACTAAAAAGCTCAATGGTTAGAGGGAAGTTTCCAACCAGACTGTGGTATTAAACCTCATATGGGAATGGATGCCTGGGGAAATCTCCAGTGTCCCGTGAGGCTGTTTCTTGTTGACTCCAATTCTAGGTATCCTTGTGTACGTCCTCCATAGGTGTGTCAGAGGAAGACGGCACTACAGAAAGAGTGGTACCCAGTGGCTGCAGTTGGCAGTTTTCCTCTGCCCCTGCTTCACTCCCTAAGGATGACTGCCCCCGGGGTGCACCAAGTCTAGGAAAGCTCAGCTGAGCATCCTTATTGGCCTAGATCTAAATCTTTGCTCTCCAGTCTGAGCTCAGTCCTGTTGATTCTACCCAGTTTCCTTTCCCTTCGAGACTCTCAATTCCCATACTCTTCATGTGAGGCAAATACAAGGGCAAGACTAATTACTGTAGTCATTCCCTCTGGAAGTTGACAGTTCACTGCAGATTCAAATTTGCAAAATCACCCTGAGAGTAACTAAAATAAACTTGTTCTATTTCAAAATACCTTTAGGATATGTCTTCGGAGTGGCAGAAATGGCAGTTAGGTTTCCAGAACCATCTTCTCTCTTTCCTGTGTGTCACAGACAACTTACCTATTCTATTTTCCTAGACTTGCTATAACCATAGTCACTTGTTCTGGGCATTGGTGTTCATGCTACTCCAAAGTATGTGTCTCCAAAAGAATGAGAAATGGAATATGATCTCTTTAAGAAGCTTGTTTGCCTGAAAGTTAAAGGTTTTGTGGGGGGGGGGGGGTGCTATACCATTGAATGGAATTTAATTGCTTCTGTGCCTTAACAACATGGGAAGTTTGTAAAAGGAAAAAAAATCAATTAACAGTTTTTATACTTCACACTCCCTACCAGCTTTTATTTTATTTTTCTTGGCATTGGTACGAGGGTGGTAGGAAGGGAATATATATATATAACCTAGTGCCTTTGTTATTAATTGAATGATATATGTTAACATTTTAATCTCTATTAAATTTACTTCGAGATGTATATGTTATTGCAAAGTATTTGGGCATGAGCTAATTGCAGCTTGTCCCACGGAAGAATGGGAAGAAAATAGGAGCCATGTGACCTCTCCTGATAAAGTTCCCTTCAGTGACTGGCTGGGACTTGCTTGACCAACTCCTAGGTGTTTGCTCAAAGCAAGGCTGTACACACACTGTGAATGCCACAGCTAAGGTATTGCAATACCTGCCACCTTGTGAGAGAAAACTAATCAGTGTTGTAAAATGGAATCGGAGTGTGTCCACTGGACTCCCTAAGTGAGGTTCAAGTGCTTGATTTAAAAAGTCAAGATTAATCAAGGAATACCTTTTGTACCCATCCCCCTTCCACCTTCCAAGAGGCGCATGTGTCTCTTCAGACCTGGCCCACAGTGGGGACTCATCCAGAGCATTTTAGGTGTCCCAAAGAAGGCCTGACTGTCTCCCTCCCATCAAATCACTTTTTACTGGCTCTACATCAGCACGAGGGTTATCTTAGAGGTTTTCTGGGAAGGAAAAGGGCCTGAAAGAAGTCACTACAGTTGGCTAAAGGTATATTATTTTTAACATTGACAAATGTTTGTGGTAAGTTGATAAACAGTCTATATGGCTATTTTCCTCTTGTGGTTTTGATAATGAATTCTGCCCTTGCACCTTATCTAAAGCTATAACCATAGCTTTAGAGCAAGAGCATAACCCCAAATTATCTAAATACTATTATCTCCTTGTTACTTGTTGGGACAACAGGGGTGCATGGCCATTTGAAAAAAAAATGGAAATAGTGTGCCATGTCTCAGCTGGTGTTCCCAGTGCAGCTCCATGCTGTTCCCATCACCAGGACATCAGGACTCAATAGTTCTGTAGCTGCTGGAATGGACAATTCAATCTAAGCACACTTCTGAGTCCATCTCCTTAGCGTCTCAGCAAGAAAGATAGAACTTGTGGCCCTGCCTGGTGGGTGTTAGGTTCTTGAAGAATCCAAGCCAGGGTTTGCACAGATTCATAGTTCCAAATCATACCCTTGTGTTCCCCCAAAACAGCCAAAGACCCTGACTTGCTCCCTTCCTTCAGACCAGCCTGTCACCCCCACTGAACAAGAACTCTGAGCAGCTGCCCCTCAGAGGCTCAGGTAGAGGAGCAGAATCATCAATCAGCCCTCTCTCACACCAGAAATGAAATTAAGTAAGCAGTTTGCTCAATTGTCAAAAAGATACCTGTGAGTGTGAGGAGAAAGCTAAGCATATGTAAAACGGTCCTTATCCTGAGAGGACAGATAAGCAGACAGCTAGAGAACCAGCTTCATAGATTAGTGACCCATTGTGTGGCTTCTTGACATTTCTGCTCTACTTGATGGGGGGTGGGGCTTCAGCTTTGTAAATATTTTCCTTCCCTGTTATCCTTACCACAAACACACTAAGAACTGGATAAGCTCCTTCTCCTAACCCATCAATGCTGTTACAACAAAATGCCTGAAACTTGGTCATTTATAAAAGCCAGGAATTTGTTTCTATATTTCTGTAGGCTAGGTCTAGGATGCAGGTACTGTCTGTCTATACTGCATCATCCAGAGGGCAGGTGTCTTTATCCTTATATGGCTCAAGACTTAACTAGCAGATTACCCTAATGCTGACGCAAACCTTTTATAAGGGCCTTATGACCATCAACGAAGGAGCCCAGGTTGTCTGTCACCCAACCCCCCCCCCATTAACAGTGTCACATTAGCAATGCCTGAATTTTGAAGTAGACATACGCAAACAAAACATGTAGTCCAAAACTAGTCTGCAGCCTCTCCTGTCTGTACCACCGTAAGTCCATTAGATTATTATATCCTCTGTGACCAGGATGGGCCCAGGAGCCTGTTTAATCCATCCTTTTGCTTTACAGAAGAAAGTGTTGTTAGTTTGTTTGCTTGCTTGCTTGTTTTTAAGTAACTTGTCTGAGATCCCACATCCTGGCAGTGACAGATCTGGCTACCAGATTCATATCCTCTCTACAGCACAGTATCTGCCTTTGTTGGCTTTTCCAAGAAAAGCATTTTTAAGTATTCCATCTATAACTGAGCATTCCATTTCTGTCTCTTAGGAGTGAACCATGTATGTCCTCCTTGGGGTCGTTGTCAGTTGGTAGCCCTCAAGGACTGATGCTACTGTATGGACGTCTCACCTGCAGAAGTGGAGGCCATGGGACGCTATCTAAAACTATCCAAAATGACATGCCTAGGGGGAAACAAACATGCATTTCCAGAATGGCTTCTCTAAATAATATTCCTAGTAAAGACTTCTTTCTCAAGGACAGTGACCAAAAGGAAATGAGGAGTTGTAAAGGTAGAAAACCAGTGGGTTGGTCCTTGGAGATCAGTAGGAATGATCCATCCCTTATATTGCCAAGGGGCACAGCTCCTTTGTTCTGAGCTGCCAATCCTAACGCTGGTGCTCAGATCTTCATCAGTGTTCTTGGACACTTGAGAAATACTCACTTTACACATTAGGCACTATTGCCGTCTCTGGGAAAGTGGTTAACAGCATGAGCTATGAAACCATGATACAGATCTATAGTGAAAAACCAGGGATTACGCCTGTAATCCCAGCATTCAGGTGGAATTAGATGGTGGCCCAAATAAGGGCACGCTAAATATCAAAGACGATGGATTTTAACCTTCACTCAATGGAAAACCTGAGATACTTTGAGGTTACTTATTAAATTTTCCTCTAGCATTAGTGGTGTTCTCTTTCAGAGGAGACAAGATCTAGAAAGATAAGTAAAATGACACCTATCCAGTATCTGCTAAATATTGAGTGAGGCCTGTAGGGAGCATTCTCATTTAACCCACACAGCAACTGCTTGGAGATGTTGGAGGTTGCATCTCAGCCGGTAATTCATGCTGCTCCTAGGTAAATTGGGATTGAGGCTATCCATTCCCTATCCAAGTTCTGTGTCCTGTTGAGACTTCTTGTCTGCCAAAGTAGGTAAGACATGATACAGAGATACCAGTTTTCACAATGTTGTCACAGGCAACAGAGAGAACTTCATTACTGCCACCTTGTCCCTCTAGTGGATTACAAGTCTGGAGAGAGAGTATTTGATATTCTACTATCATCGTTTCCTAATAATTCTTCCTAAGTCTGGATCTTGTGGCAACTCATCCACAGGACAACTGACTCGTGCTAGCGACTAAATAGAAAGACTTCAATTCCTGAAGACGAATGTATACCAAAAGAAACTGGAGTAACACTGACAGATGAATAACAAGACCTTCAAGAGAAAGATCAGAAGTAGAGTCAGGTCAAAAATTGCTTTGGCCAGCTCTCTCATAGAAGGATGTCAAGGAGAGTGAGCAAGGTGGTAGGCCCCATTGGTGTCAAGGACAGTGAAGGAAAGGACTTCTGAGGCAAAGATGTATTCATTAGTCCTCATACATTGCTGATGGGAATGGAAATTAATGTGCATTCACTTGAGAAAAACCGCCTGGCAGGTTGAAAATGTCAAACAGTTCAAAAAATGACCCAGCAAGTTTATACCTGGATATTTCCAAGAGAAATGAAAAGATGTAGAAACAACTCAACTGTCCATCAACCAATAAACAAATTATGGTATCTCCATATGCCAAAATATTACTTGGTAATGAAAGGAAAGGAATACACACTATCAAATAGATTCAACTTGAAAACATGAAGCTGAATGAAAACAAGTGGTCATAAAAGACTACATACGGTATGATACCATTACATTGAAATCCACATAGGCAGAAGGTAATCCACGAACAGTTGTTGGTGTAGGAAGTCCTTCTGTTTATGTGTTGCTTTCATTGGTTAATCAATAAAGAAACTGCTTGGCCTGATAGGGCAGACCTTAGGTAAGCGGAGAAGACAGAATTGAATTTTGGGAGGAAGAAAGCAGAGAGAGAGAGAGAGTCACAATGGAGCCACCAGGTCAGACATGCTGAATCTTTCCTGGTAAGCCACAACCTCATGGAGATATACAGATTAATAGAAACGGGTTAAACCAAAATGTGAGAGTTAGCCAATAAGAGGCTAGAGCTAATGGGCCAAGCAGTAATTTAATTAATACAGTTTCTGTGTGGTTATTTTGGGTTTTTTGCTAGCCGGGCTGCTGGGACAAACAAAGGACCCTCTCTCCATCAACAAGTTGTTTTTATTTGGGAAGCAGCCAAAGGAGCACCCCACATTTCAGCAGGTGGAAAGCTTCACAGGCCTCCCACAGCATCACTTCTACACTCAGAACTGGAAATCACTGTGTCAAGTTGTGGTAACCTTGGTTAGTTGTGTGAAAAGGGAAGGACTCTCTCATTGGTATATCTGTGCATCCAACACACTTCCATCTGTGCTTAATTTGAAAATCCACATATGAGGGGTCATATGGAAACCTACAGTAGAAGGTTCTTTACACACACACACACACACACACAAAATCTAAATGGGATCACCAAATAATGGAGGAGATGAAACCCCAACTTGGTCTCTCTCACCACCAAATGAAACCTCCAGTGGCAGAAGTACATTACATTTAATTGAGTTGTTGGCTAAATGGGTACCATGAAAACTGCCAAACAAACCAGGCTATTGCCAAGCATATTGACTGCTCCCCACAAACTGATGGTAAGGCCATATTGCTAAAGACAACACCTACATAACTCACCAAACACAGAGAAGTTAAGCTACCTAGATTCTTTATCCCTATTGGCTAGTGTTCATAATATTGCAGCATACTTTGTATGATACAAAAGGGGAAAAATAAATATCAACTCACCTTCAAGGCCTTTTAACTACAATGGTGTTCTGCCTATATGACATGCTGATGCACTGGTGGCACAAAAGTTAGGGAGTAACCAACCACTATCTGGTAAGATTTAAGGCCTTTATGAGATGGAATCCATACCTGACACTGCTCAAGTGACCAATAACCTAAGACCATGGACCTAGGGGAAAACCAAATACTACTGGTCTGCTAAAAGAACAAAGCAATAAAAAGACTCCTAATGACATTTTGCTGTACTCATAGATCAGTGTCTTACTCAGCCATCATTAAAGAAGTTTCATCCTGCAGCAGATGGGAGCTAATAAAGACTGACAGCTGCAAAATGTACAGAGTGTGAGAGACCTTAGAACACTCAGTCCTTGATGGAGGAAGGTCATTGGTTAATTATAATAAACCAACTGCTTGGCCTCATAGCTTGGTGGGAGGAGTAAACAGAATAGAATTCTGGGCGGAAGAGGAAGTGAGGTCAGACTCTGCTCTGCTCCCGGGGAGACCCAACAGCTGCTCTCTGGAGCAGAGACACCAGGATGGACGGAGGCTAGACTCTTCCTGGTAAGCGCACCTTGGGGTGCTTACACACATCATTAGAAATGGGCTAGTCCAGGTGCGAGAATTAGCCTGTAAGGGTTAGAGTTCATGGGCCAAGCAGTTCTTAAATGAATACAGTTTGTGTGTTGTTATTTCGGGCATAAGCTAGCCAAGTGGCCGGGGTGTTGGGGACGCAGCCCCGCCGCCGCTCCTATTTCAACAAGTCCTAACCAGGACATCTTTCTCAAATCCCACAGGTTCAGAGCATGAAGAAGAGGCAGAAATACCTAGAGGGGATGGAGGACACCAAGGAAACAAAGCCCTCGAAATTAACAAGACCAGTGCACACATGACACTGAAGCAGCATGCACAGAACAGGTCTTAACCAGATGGGTCCTAGAGCTGAAAGAAGTATATGCAAGCCCCCATCTCCAACCCAGAAGCTATCTTCAATCGATAACCTCTTGCAGGAGAAAAACAGTTTTCCCCAACAGAGTTTCATTGGGCATATCCAAACCACACTTAAGGAAAGGTCCTATACCCATCTCAAAACTGGTATATTTGGACAGTTTCTAATATTTTCTCTGGGCTTTCTTTTTTGAATTTTACAGGTCTTTTGCTTTTATTATAATTTCCTACTTTGTGTTCATGGGTTTTCTCTCTGTGTGTGTCTCTGTCTCTGTCTCTCTCTGTCTCTCTGTGTGTGTGTGTGTGTGTGTGTGTGTGTGTGTTTCTTTTTGCTTTTTCTTCAGCTCCTATTTTTTTTTGTTGTTCTGGTTTGTTTGGGGTTTGTGTTTTAATTTTGTTGTTGTTGACTGTTTTCTAATGAGAAAAAGAAAGAGTGTAGATTTGGGTTAATAATGTAATGGGAAGGATTGGGGAGGACTTGAGGAGAGGAAACTGTGACCAGAATATACTGCATGAAAAAATGTATTTTTAATAAAAATTATGATTATAAAACATGAGCAAACTAATTTCACAAATGGAGTATATAGGGGTACCAACAAAGGACACAGAAAATATTGTTGGTAGGAAGAACTTGAGAGGGCAAAAATTATGCCATTGTGGGGAGATGATCTGGAGTAACAGTTACCCAGGACAGAATATATAAACCCACTTTGTAATGGGAGGAGAATATAAAGCATTGGCCTTGTGAAGTAGAGTTCAGGAAAGCTTGGCTGCTCCCAAAGTATTTGCTATAGACAGTTTGCTATCTGTATCTCATCAGATATGTAGAAGGCGGGGTTCTTTTCAGAGTTTAAAATTGATTTCAATATAAGGGTTTTTCTCATAACCCATCTTGAATACTTTATGGGGTGAAACTGCACACAAATATACATGTATGCCCACAAAAGATTTGAGCTGTTTTTTTTTTCACTCAATAATGAAAAATGAGGTTTAACAAAATTCACCAAGGTCATCAGATAGTATGGAGTGGTTCAAACTCAGGTGAGTGTGTGGGGGGGGTCACTGTTCTTTTCTACCTTTCTTTCCTGTTTTGAGTCAAATATCCACACTATCAAGACTATTTTCTACTTTCCAATCCCACCAACTTCCCCATGTCTACCAGTACTTCTCTGAGATGTCAGTCCCAGAGGGCCTGCATACACCTTAGGATGCCTCACTCTTGTCTTCACCAGTGATCCTGCTAGAACCTCCTCTTAGTGTTATTATAAGGGTTGTGTGAGCTGATGCAGTGTGCTCAGCCCAGCACATAGTATGTACCTCATCCCTGCTACCATCCTTGAAGCTACCAGGGTCTTCTTACCATGTTACACCCTGGTGGAAAGTTAAGTTTTCTGTGGCTCTCCGGTGTCTGCTCGCCTACAGCTTCAGACTTTATGATTTGACTCGCTGCAGTCTCTAGACTCCCGCTCCTGCAGGTCTTTCCCTCTGCGCTTGTTCCAGGCGCTCTGAACCATGAGTTCCCGAGGGCACTGTGACAGCCTTTGCCAACTGTACACCCTACTTCAGTCTCTCATAAACCATCTGTGCTCCAATGCCTGTTCCCTTTCCCGATTCCTCCTTTAGACTACACACTAAGCTGACTAGAGTAAGATGGCCACTCTTACTCATCACTGATTCCTCCAAATGCAGCATGGTTCCTGGCATATTGTAAGCTCTCCATCACTGCTATCAGAGGGGTTGGTAAGCACACAAGAACAGGGAAAGGATGGACAGGAAGTGAGCCTAAGTCCTTTGCAGCCTTGGTACCATTCCAGGTTGCATGCAGCTCTCTCAACAAAACAGAGAAGGAGAGCCAGCGGATAGAACTGGAGATTGGAGATGGTGGGCTTCGGGACACCTCTATTGTTCCCTCCCCAGGGCTGAATATACAGTAGGAATGATTTTCTTCCAAATTTAGGATTTATCACTTCCGTACTTAAAAATGCAAAGAACTTCCCAGGTATTACAGGACAAGGAGCATAGCCCTAGAGAAGCACATTAGGGCTCTCAGTCTTTGGTCCCATGCCCCTCTTCTGCCTCATCCACCTGCATTATCTTCTCTCTACTCCTCACTGCAGCTTCCTACTGTCAGGCACGCCCTAATGATGCGCTTCTCTTTCCAAGTCCTTCTGGGTGAATAACTTGAAACTATCTAAGCTCTCACCACTTTGTGATCTCGTCCTTATGTTCCTGGCGTTGTGTGCTCCTGGCTATAGTAAGCCTTACAGACACATCCAAACCATAGCCCATAGGCCACATGTGGTCAAGGATAGCTGTGAATGTGGTCCAATGCAGAATATAAACTTACCTAAGACGTTTTGAGTTTTGCTGGACTTTTTTGTCACTTTTGTGTGTAACTTGATTGTGCGGCTCTCAAACATGAGCGCTGTAGATAATAAGTCGTATCATCATGTTGCAGTATCAATAGGTTGTGATGGCCCACCTCATCATCTTACTGGATACTGCTTTCTTATTAGAGTTCCAAACTAACATGTGCCATTTGGGAAAAGCTGGCCTCACCATTTGTGAAATAGATATTCGGTGAGTTATTGATACCTTCTGAGCTTCAGTCATATTAGTTCATGAAATTCCATGTAAAAATGAAGATGAGAAGTCCACCTACATGTTTTATGCCTGTTCTGCTGACCTAGCCCTAGGATGGAGACCAGGGGAAAAGTCAGAATGAGGTCAAAGTTCTCAAGAACGTGAGTTGGGCACTGATCTCTTTGGAAGATGGAGCAACCAAAGGACTGCAGGCAGGGAGCTGTGTTGGTGTTAGAGAAGCACCAGCGGTGGCTGCCCAGACCAGCCCCATTTGAGAACTGATTCCTCCCCTTCTCTGGAGTCTATCAACTGATTGGCTGGCCCCAGGCTGGCACACCACCCAAACAATTGTTCACACTGGGCTTCCACCTGGATGCCCCCTCTTTGCTTTTTCTGGTGCTGCCCCTCCTTCTTCTTCTTTTTACCCTTGCCAGCTTTAGGTCTTGGGGTGGCCAGTAGGATGCTGAGATGACGGAGTCCATGCGGGATGAAGTGAACCCTCACTTTTTCAAAACCTTCTTCTCTGAGAGATTTTAGCTAGTTGGATTTATGTAGCATTGGACAATGGTAAACTGTGTAAATTTTCTGTGTTTTCCATGGATGGTTATTTATGGAGGGGGCGTTTTTAACTCACGTGCTAGAAATGTTAAATCATAGTAATAAATTCATGCTATTCAGACGTTGTTACATTGTAATAATTTTTTCTGAGCATGAATGAGGAGATCCATGAGTCCTTTAATATCCCATTATGTGTTTCTTCTCAGAATGACAGCTTACTACATCCATAACAGGAGGAGATTTACTGTGACAGGGGTGGCAAAAGTTGAGAGATGCTGAGTGTGAGAAAGACCCACTTGGAGCAGTGAAAGCAAAAAGAACTCTGGTCCCATTGGGCTGCTTCCTGGGGTGGCTCTGCCTGGCATTTCACCCCCACAGATTCATGCCTGAGCTTGGGAAGGTCCGCTGAGCAGAGAAATGGGATGAGGAATGCCAGTGGCCTTACATCTTGTTATGTCCAGCAACAGACATCAGAGTGAAACTGGGGTAGAAATAAAAGCCACATCTCTTTTTATTTAGACATCTTCTTGTCTAAAGCATTAGGACACCCATCTTTCTAGAACATTCTCCCTTGTCCTCTATCCTCACCTCCAAAGGAGTGGTGTGTTTAAAGATGTGGATACTGCAGAGATAAGGCAAATGTGGTGTTGGTGCTATCAACGTGGGAGGATCATGAGTCATCTGGGAGAGAGGCTTCCATGCGGGGGCTATTATCTTTCTCAGGAAGACTCCCTCACTATGGGTCACACCATTCCCTGGCACAGATCCTGAAGTGTCTAGAGGGAGCTGAGCAACAGTACACACCCATCTCTCTACTGCGCAGCTGCTGCAAGCTTCTGACTTCTCTATATCAGAGTTTTATCACAGCACCAGAAGAAACACTAAGACTGGGAGCAAGCTTACAGACTTCCGTAGGCGCACCGTGTGTGCTAAGCAAAGCCCGTGGGAAAAGACTTGTGAGGTTCCAACCCTCTGGAGCAGTGTATTGTTTCCCTAGTGCTCAACTAGCACCTAGGCTCGATTCCTATCTGTGTGACATCCAAGTCCCTACGCCAGCCCAAACTGAGTGTATCAGCCCGCACAGTGTAGACAACATCCATATTCACACCTGCCTTTGCCTTTGCCTTGTTCAAATTAGGGCTCCAATGAAAGGTTGTCCCCGTGCCTACTGGGATGCAAAGCAGGTATTGTCACAATTTATCTGGAGGTTAGCAGGTGGCAGCAGACCTCTCTGAAGCATGGAGACTGCCCGCAGGAACTGACCTACCAATTCCCACAGCATGTCCTGCCTCAGGCAGAGCTTCCAGCTCCTTCCTGGCCCCAGCAGAGTAACCTACCATCCCAGTTTTAGAGCGCTGCTTCCCTGTTTTTTCTCTTCAGTCTGGGACTTTATTATCTGCTCAGGGCTACACCTGGCTTTACAGACCTCAACCTAGATGAATGTCAGCAGCAGGCAAAGCTGAGACCTAGTTCAAGGCTGGGAATTCTGAGCTGGTGCAGGGAATCATGGAGCTGGGCTGGCCTAGCTGCCTTGAGAGGCATATGTCATAGGTTTTCAGGTTAGAGTCCATGACTCCTGGGGCACAATGAGTCTTCCAGTTCCTGAAAGACCTACGTGTTCCCTCAGGTAGAGAAGTTTTCAGGCCACTTTGTGTTTCTCTGTATTTTCCCTCAGAAGTCAAGGAAGCATGGAAGCTTGACAGGACAATTGGTCTTAGACATTATGGTGTGGGAGCTCCTTCTGTCTGTGTGTTGATTTTATTGGGTAATGAATAAAGAACTGCTTTGAGCCTATGGCAGGGAAGAACAGAACTAGGCAGGGAAAGCTAGACTGTATGCTGAGAGAAAGAAGGGTAGAGTCAGATGCCATAGAGCTGCAGCCAGAGTCAGACATGCCAAAACTTTGCCAGTAAGCCACTACAGCATGGGGATACACAAATTAATAGAAATGGGTTAAATTAATATGTAAGCATTAGCCAATACGCTAGAGCTAATGGGCCAAGCAGTTATTTAATTAATACAGTTTCTGTGTGATTATTTTGGGGGGTCTGAGTGGCCAGGAAATGAAGAAGTGGCCAAGCAGCCTGCTGCTACAACATTTATCTTGTATACCCTGTAAAATTTACAACTGTCATTGTATCCTGACAACTACAACTGTATTGATCCTAGCAATTGCCACTATAATCTGTATATTCTGTTTCTGATAAATGTATACAAAGTCTTATTGCTCTCCATAAAATTGCCATAGCTTAAATTTTGCTGTGGGCCCTCTAACTGATGTGATTCAGTTTTTCACGGCCTTCATCTCAGGCAACCTTAGCCTGGTAAATAAGTGTGGGTGCTTATATACTGGGGTACTGTTAATGACTCGAGGTCTTTCCCTTCTCCCCTTTCTCGCACTATCCCCCCCACTCATACACACACACACACACACACACACACACATATGCACTGTCCCTTTTTCACAGATGTCCTCTCGATCCAGAATGGAATAAATAGAGCTGGGGAGGTAGCTTACTAATGTTGCTTGCTTTATATCCATGAGGACCAGAGTTCAATCCCCAAGCCCATGACCAAAAAAGCTAGGTGTTATGGTGCACACTTGTAATTCCAGTGCTGGGGAGACCGAAACAAAGGGTTTACTAACCACTCAGATTAGCCTATTTGGCAAGTTTCTGGCCATTGAGAGAGAAACTACCTCATTAACAGGTGAACAGTGCCTGCAGAATACCTGCAGCAGCATGTGCACATGCACAGCACACACAATGTATTCAGTG